GTTTCATGCTAATGGTTTCTCTGCTGCTGCTTTTATGCATTGCTTTCTTTGTTTTGGTTGATCACAATGTACACACCTGCTCGCCCGGTGCCGTTTCCTTTCCAGTGAGAGCGCACCTGACGCGCAAACATTCAGGGAAAAGCAGTGCACGCATTTCCCCATAGAAGTATCAAGCACGTGTCAGAATTTGCTTGCTACGAGAGTAACTTCGTGTAAGCTCGGCCCATGGACGTCGGCAGGATTTTTCGCTTGGCCGCTGCAGCCTAGGGCTTAGGGCGTTCATTTTCTAGCTCCGTATACCGAGCGATTTGAGATCCGCTTGTCGAGAATTCCCAGTTACACAATTTGACGGAACTAAGTGAAACTAACCACATCTCCTTTGTACTCCGATTTCTTCGGAAGCGAGCACATCTACAAGATCACCCAATCTCAGGCTCGTCCTAAGATGTTATGTTATCCCCTTGTAAAACTGAAGACTATCAAGACGTTATGACGGAGCAATCACACGCCTCACAGTATCAACCAAGCTAACTGCACGTTTCAGTAGATCTTAACGTCACATCGAGGTTCACCCTCCGATGTTTCCTGCTTATTTTGTCTGATTTAGAACGAAAGCCTCGTGAAACGTAAAAATAGACTGAGTAAGGGGTGTTCTTGAGTAAGTTGGGTCATAACTGATGCGCAATAAAGTAGGGCAAAAGAAACGGGGATGCAAACGAGACGTAGGACAGGCTTTTATCACGGATTTTTACTGAATTAACATAAAAGTTTATAACAGTAGCCAAGCAGCGACAATGAATACATTCGCGACACAGCCGCACGATAACAAAAGTGCCAAATCTTCCCCATAAACACACCACACCATCGTCGCCACGCACCGATGCAGACTCAGTTGCCCAGTACCCGAAGGCGACACCACCGAAAACGTCAAATTTTATCGCACCGGCTGACTCTTGCATCAAATATTGTCGCGTGCTGCAAAAGGTCTTCAACTCGGAAGAACTGAGCCGGCGGGGAGACGCACCGAAAACTGGCAAGATGGCTGCTGCAGTATTCAACATCAGAGCACGCGCTGCCCCAGAACATCGTCTTCCATTCTAGCGGGCAGCCATGGCTTTCACTCGCCGTACCTAGAGGCCAAGTGACATTATTCCCCGTCTGAAAAAAAAAAAAAGAGCATCACTCTGATGCTCGGAAAGTACAAAGGCAAAGTCGGAGCGAACCAACAGAAAATACACGCATACAAAAAAAAACAGCAATAAGGTTCATGCACAGTCGCACTACCGCGTGAAGTACGGCTTCAGTCGCACTTCGCGCACAATCTCCGAGGAGTGCCTTCGCCACAGTGGCGAAAAGGCGTCGTCAGGGACTACCTCGTAGTTAACATCGCTCACGCGTCGCAACACTTTGTACAGTCCGAAGTAGCGAATGAGCAGTTTTTCTGATAATCCCGGGCGTCGAAGTAGAGTCCACACCCAAACTTGATCGCCTGGATGGTATTCAACTTGTTGATGGTGAGCGTTGTAGCGGCATGTGTCTATACTCTGCTGGTGCGTAATGTGTAGGCGTGCTAACTGGCATGCTTCTTTGGCGTACTGGCGTGCTTCTTCGGCTTGTATACTATCCACTTGTTGCCGGCAGATGATAGCGGAAAGGGCCCCGGTAATTTCATTCCTACTTGATCGAATGGCGCTATAAGTGGTTCTATTGGTTGAAGAAGCCCCGCGAGCTTCAGTGGCGGGGATTTGCGGCGTTGACATTCCCGGCAGCTTTTCACGTATCGCTTAACGCATGCGGAAAGCTTAGGCCAGTAGTACGCTTGTCGAACTCTAGCGAGAGGAACCTAAGTGACCAGATGTGGGCTCATCGTGGCAGGCGAGAAGAATGTCGCCACGCATGTCAGTTGGCACAACTAGAAGATAGGTTCTCTCATTGCCGTTGAAGTTTTTCTTATACAGGACCCCATCTCACAAACATAACGACGACAGACCTAGAGAAATACATCGAGGTATGAAAGCGTTGCGTCCTTCAAGATTTTCGATAACTGCGCGAATTTCGTCGTCCGCGCGCTGTCGTATAATCAGATCCGCTGTAGTAGGGGCCCCAAGGAAACCACCGTCATCCTCTGTGTCGTGGCCACGAACTTCGACAGGCACACGGGACAATGAATCAGCGTCTTCGTGCTTGCGACCGGATTTGTAAGCGATCGTGAAATCGTATTCCTGCAGACGAAGAGTCCATCGTGCCAGTCGCCCACACGGGTCCCGTAGATTGGCTAACCAGCACAACGAATGACGGTCGGTCACTACCTTGAAGTGGCGTCCGTAAAGGTAAGGCCTAAATTTCATCGTGGCCCATACGACAGCGAGGCACTCCATCTCTGACGTGGAGTAGTTGACCTCGGCGCGAGAAAGAGTGCGGCTAGCGTACGATATCACTCGCTCTGCGCCCTCTTGTTGTTGGACGAGGACAGCACCAAGACCCACGTTGCTGGCGGCCGTATGAATTTCAGTATCAGCGTCTTCGTCAAAGTGAGCGAGAACTGGTGGTGTCTGCAAACGCTCCCGCAGTTCAGAGAAAGCTGCGTTCTGTTCTTTTAGATGCGGAGCATCTAATACTCGAGGCTTGCAGTGCGGCGCCGTCCGCAAGCTTCCTCCTCCTTCTTCCACCATCTGTGCATCCCTTCCTCCTCTACACACCGCGCGCGCTTCACTCCTCCACCATCTGTGCACCCTTCGTCCTCTACACACCGCGTGCGCTTCTCCTCTTCACGAACATTCGCTAGCTGTATAATGTAGCGCGCATGCGCCGTCACGCTTCGAGAACATCGGCAGCTGACGCGCGCGCATGCGCCGTCGCGCTTCGAGAACATCGGCAGCTGACGCGCGCGCATTCGCCGTTGCGCTTCTCCCCCTTCTCGAACATTCGACAGCTGACAGTGCATGCGCCGTCGCGCTGTATATATACTCAAGGTCGGCGCTCGCTCGCTCAGTTGCCGCTCGTCGGTTGGTTTGTACGGCGCATCGACGTCCAAGGTCGCGGTGAAATGAATTCCAACGAATCCACAAACACAATGATCGACGTCCCTTCGACCAGCGCCGCCCTTTCGCATACGTGTGTACGTGTTCACTCATTTAACACCCCCTTCTACAACCACGTTAACCAATTTAGCCATCGACCCAAGTAAGTCGCAATTTAACACCCCATTTCACAACCACGTTAACCAATTTAGCCATCGACCCAAGTAAGTCGCACTTTAACACCCCGTTAACCAATTATATGCTCCGCATCCTCCTCAGTGTTCCCCCGAGGGAAGCTGCGGGCAATTTTTTTCCCAGACGAATGGAACATCTTCACAAGTGAGTCGAGTGAGCGGTTCAGCAATCCTAGAAAAATTGGCTATATAGCGGCGATAGTACGTGCAGAGCCCTGGAAAGCAACGTACTGCCTTTCTATCACGTGGAACAGGAAACGAGGCCACGGCAGTACTTTTGTCTAGGTCTGGTCAAACACCTTCTGCACTAACAACATGGCCGAAAAACTTTAGTTCCTTGTAACCGAAGGGGCATTTTTCTGGCTTCAGTGTGAGGTTAGCAGAGCGGAGCGCTTCCAGCACATTCTGCAGACGCTTCAGGAGCTCCTCAAAGGTCGCAGAAAAGACGACAACATCATCCAGATAAACTTGGCACGTGTGCCACTTTAGATCAGTAAGAACAGTGTCTATCATTCTCTGGAATGTCGAAGGCGCAGAAGAGGCAAAGGGAAGCACTTTAAATTCATATTGGTCATCCGGTGTAACGAAGGCGGTTTTTTTTTTCACGATCACGTTCATACTTCGATCTGCCAGTAGCCACTTTTCAAGTCTATCAATGAAAAATACTTGGCCCGCCACAGTCTGTCGAGGTAATCGTCGATGTAGGGCAGCAGATAGACGTCCTTTTTAGTTACGCTGTTAAGTTCCCTGTAGTGCACGCAGAAGCGCAGTGATCCATCTTTAAGAGCAAACCTCATAAGCGCGAAAATGCACGCGACAGCACGAGCGATGCTATGAGCGACGAAACAGCGCGTTCACGCGACGTGTCGCGTGCTCGTTTTCACGCGATCGCTCGGTTCTCCAGATTTGGAAACCGTCGCTCATCGCCCGGAAGTGCTGGGCTCAAGCAGCCAATAGCGAAAAACCGGAAAAGACAAGGACTACATAGGTGCACGTGACCCTGCCCGAGTCACGTACGCGCCACAAGAAATAACACAATGTTTACGCGTGTGCAAAGAAAAAAAGTGCTGCAAGACATTCATAAACACTTTCCGTTCCATTACACAACATTATATCTTATTTTTAAATTACATACCGCTCACTACACGGTTTCCTTGGTGCGAGTAGACGGTTCATGCCAGCAACAGTGAAGTTCGCTCGCCGAAGCCGTCGCGTGAATGAGGTTTGCCTGCGCTAGCGACTGATCGTGCGAAGACGATCTACGTCGCATCGGTCGTCGCTGTCGCGTGCATTTTCGCGCTTATGAGGTTTGGCCCTTATTCTTCACGAGAACGACCGGAGATGACCAGGCACTCTTCGAAAGTTGCATAACGTCGTCCTGCAACACCTCTTTGACTTGAGCATTTATCACGTCAGGTTCCTTTGCCGAAATGCAGTAAGCGTGTTGTTTTATGGGCGAGGCGTCATTATACGTAATTATTCGGTGTTTGGTGATCGGTGTCTGACGAACCTTCGAGGTGGACGCGAAGCACTCTTTAAATTGATATAGCAGTTTACGTACCTCGGTCTGTTGTTGTTCCGAGAGGGTCGAGTTGACATCAGCTTTAGTGAAGTCACGTCGCTTGGTGTCCGTCGAAGCCCGTCGTCGGCTGATGTAGATGCGAAGCATTCAGAAACGTCTGCGATATGGTAGGCGAAAGCGATGGCGGTGTCACGAAACAGGTACCGGTACTTGTTACTGAAATTAGTCACAAGTAAGGCGCAGTGTCCGTCATAAAGCGTGACG